GTGTTCAGAAATAGTTGGCCAGCAGAAATCTTCCTCAATTTTTTTAATGTATTTTCTGTTATTTCTTTGATAGAGAGAATGAGATGGGATGTGGGAATCAGGATATTAGGCTAGTGTGGTAAAGGGATGGTATGCAAGAGGTAAAAGAAATAACAATAAATTGATCCAGAAATATTGTAAAAATTTTCAAAAAATACAGAAAAGCACTAGAATCACTGTCATATATGAAAAAACCCAGGCATTTATTGGAACACAAAATAAAGCACCATAAACATTGTCAAATTGCTCTTGGCCTTCTAAATTTTATCTACTCACTATTCTGAATAAATGAGGGAAAATCATGTAAAATTCTCTGTGTGCTTGATCCCAGTACACAATTCTAAATGAAATTCTCAGGCATCACTTCTAGTGAGGAGCTAGGCTAATCCAAATGAAGTCATTATTTGTGTCTTTCTTTGTACTTGACAAATGAACCAGTTTCCTTCCAACTTACCTGAGTCTATATCCTTTTGTTTCCTCTAAGTTTACGATCTAGGTTTCTTTGTTCTGTTCAAGACAGGTGACTAGCTCTGGTTTTGATACAGAAAGGCCTGTGAATTAGAGGAGAGATATGAAAAGTACTTAACAAGATGTGGCAAAGTGTTGGGATCTAACACAGGCTTATACTCAGTGGATATGAAGTTACATAAAGAAAGACTCATAAGTGGAGTCATTTTAGTATATACTTCACAGGTGTCATAGACTTTTAAAAAAAACTTAATGTTCATTTTGTACACATTCAACATTTCTTTAATTATCCCATTACAAAAATAAAACTGTTGGAATCAAACTGTATTCACAAATTATTGCGACTGACTGACTGACTGCAAATATTTGGATTTAAAGAACTTTTAGGCTAAATTAAAATGCCATTTACAATTTAAAATAAGAAAAATTTCAGTCACTATTACACTCAACAAAACATAAAATAATTGGAATTCATTGATAGAAAACATTTCAAATATTAATACAAGTTGCTAGACATTCCTAGGGCTAAGCAGCAATCATGAAAGAATTTATTCTCACCTACAGAAAACAGGTTGCTGTAGTGAGAATAATTCCAACATGACATCTCTGTATAAATCCCTCTGAGAAATGTCCAGGCATTCCCATTCCTCCTTGGAGAAACTGATGGCCACGTCCTTGAAAGTCAATGGACTCTGAAGTGAAAATTCAAATTTTCTTTGTTATATTGGTTTGAGTTCTTATTTGCTCCACAATAGAGTATTTAACTAAATAACTCTCTATATTATCAGTAATCAATCTTCAATTTTCAAATGTTATACATTAAGAGGATGTTGAGACACTTTCATGAGATCAAAGTGCCCAACATCTAAACATTTCATGAAATATGTGCCTTTTCTCAGTGATAATGTCTGAAGTTGTGCTCAGTATGAATTGAGTTTCAATATTCATCTCTAATATCAGAAAATTTGGAAATACTTCAGATCATGAAGTCATGTAGAAAAGTCATATTGGGAAATAAAAGAGGCAGCAAAGAATTAAAATAGGGATGTAGAATAGAAATGATGGTAATAATAAAGAATTTATTTCAAAAATATAAGAAAATATAAAAATATGGTTTTTTTAAGAGTTTTTGAGAGCTCTGCAAATGAAGCATTTATGTGTGGGATGTCAACCCGTCCCATCCTTGTGCAAGCTTTTACCTGAGAACATATCATCCGTTCTTCCCCTTTCCTATGGATCCTGTCAGGAAGTTTATATTTATTTATTTTTATTTATTTATTTATTTATTTATTTATTTATTTTGTTAGTTAGTTAGTTAGTTTTTGAGACAGGGTTTCTCTGTGTGGTTTTGGAGCCTTTCCTGGAACTCACTCTGTAGCCCAGCTGGCCTGGAACCCACAGAGATCTGCCTGCCTCTGCCTCTAGAGTACTGGGATTAAAGGTGTATGCCACCATTACTTAACCAGGAAGTTTATCTTAAAGTTTCATTTTTCTGATACTATTCTGTATGTAAAGGTAGCAGCACCTATATTCCCTGCTACCACACTCAGAGACCAGAAAGCAAGTAAATAAAATGTCCTCAATCAGTGTTTCAACACATAGCAGAGATCATGAATTTTTACAGAGAGATCAAAACTTAGTTTCTCCTCTTCTGCATTGAGAGGTTCTGTTATTCCAGCAAATTGTGGCAATTTCTACAACCTGGGTATGTGGCCTTACCACCCTGCTTTTTACTGTGCACAGACATTTTAAATTGAGTCTGATCACAATTGTAAGAAATTGCAGTTACCCCTTCCTCACATTCCATTTCCCTGACATTATTAATTAATATATAACAGACATCTGTATTTGAAATAGTGCATGGAATCTGAGCAGTAGCCTCAACTGAATGTATTTCTCACCTTGGTTAAGTAATACACTTGCCTACAACCAAGGAACAGTAGAAAATTGATAGCTCAACAGTGTCTTCAATGAGGCATTCCCATTAGTTTCCATGTTTCATTTTACAATTCCACTATTTCAGTTTTGCAGAAAAACAAATGATTAGATTCTCTCTTAAGTTTATTTTAAATAGTGAAAATACTTCTTTTGGATTCACTTGAAAATGCTGTATCTAAATAATGGCATCCTTGCCCTCAGTTTAATATTTCAATTAGTTTATTTGTTAAAAAAATGTACTATATAACCATAGGATGTAGTATTGCATCACCTTCCAGGGGAGTGATTGTTACCAGGTGTCAGCACAACAGAAGATGATTTCAAGTTCACAGTAGTGTTAATAGATAGCAAAGAGAAACAATGGAATAGAGTCTCTGAATCTAGTCACAAACATAACAATAAACAGAAGAAAACTTGCCTGATAGGATAATTTCATACCACGTTATGACTGGCAAATTCCATTTTGAAGTTTGTATTACATTTAAATACTTCAGCTTTGTATATAACACAGTATGTCTTTCATAGAAATAATACTTTAAACATTATCCATTGACACGAAGACATTCCATCCTTTTTCATGGTACCACTTTCTTCAACAGTCTGTACTGAGCAAATGGATACCTGAGTAAAAGGATCATGGAACATAGTTTCTTTCTCATTCATATGAGATGACTCAATTCCATTTTCTTAGGACATAGGAATGCATGTATTTTTGTATATCTATTTTTATACTATGCATTAATGCAGAGAATTTATTTTGAAAAATAAAGTGAGAAACAGTGGAAAGCAGCACCCACTCATGTGACATGCATTAAAAAAAACCTTTACCTTGACAACCGCATCAGTAATAGAAAAAAAAGCCTTGTAAAAACTGAGAGGTAATATAAATGTTTGGGATCACCACAAGAGAAGCTTTTGTAGGAGAACAGGCAAGATATCTCACGTCCATACACGCATTTACCTGAGAAAAAGCCATCTCTCTTTTCCCTTCCATCTGAATCCTCTCAGGAAACTTTATCTCAAAATTTCACCTTCCTGATAATATTTGGGGTTTCAAAGCAAGAAAAGCCTTGTATATTTTGTACCAAACTAAGAGACTGGAAGGAGGATCAAAAAGCTCACTATCTGTACTTTATTGGAGCAGTGATATAGAAAAACATGATCTCCCAGAGGCAGACAAAACTGTAGGGTGTACTGCCATGCATTCAGGTAGGTAGACTGTTTGTCCTGCATGAATGACTTTAGTACAGATATGGCAACATGGTTGAATTGATTTGCTAGAGTTTGTAGAATCATGTGGGCATTTCAAATTGATGCTGAGCACAGCTGACATGGAGAATCATTAATGAATCTCACATTCTCTTACTCTGTGGTTTATTAAAGCAAAATGAGGCTTCCATGAAGGATAACACACAGTATCTGTGGGGTATCGCAGATGAAAGTAATTCTTCAACTGGGTAAAAAAATATAGTTGTGTCCAAGCAGCATGAAAGCAATGCATTTCCCTCAAAAGTCTCCACTGACTTTCCCATTTGTTACCATGATACAATTTATAATATTAAAATTCTGCAACTTTGCAGTGATTAAAACATTTCACAAATTTATTTTCATCATGACATTACTTCATAGTCCTCATAGTAGTCCAAAGATAGTCTTAGAACCCACAAGCTTGGAATAATGAACAGTTGAGTGATTCCTCCATATAAGTACTGGCCATTGAGCTCCTCTATATACAAGACCAGTAAGAGCTCTTAACTTTTGAGCCGTCTCTTCTTCCCTGTGTTGATTATTTATGACCAACATTGATATTTCTAATGTTATCATCTTTCAAACTGTAACTGTTTAAATGCATAGTTCCTTTTAGTAAGATTTATTAAAGTATAGTTTAAATTGGAGCAATTCAGATTTCTGAAAGATAAATACAGAACTAGAGTGAATGCCTAACTCTTTGTAGGAATTTCAGTAAAACAATCTCTGAGCTCATCCTAAATTTTTGTTTGTTGGGTGGAATTTTACTGTGCAGATGGGTTCTTAATATTTATTTCTTCCTGTACTATAACTGATAACATAGACTGGCTAACTTTCAACTCAGAAGCACATATACCTGCTTCCACCTTCTAAGTTCTGGAATTAAATACATGAGCCATTACACCCAACTTACAAATCTTCTTTGTAGTTAGTAATTGTTCATACAATTTCTCTGATGTCTGCTCAATACTGTTGAAATGTTTGCTTAGCACTCTATCTCTGTTAATAAGCATTTATCTTGCAAGGTGATATCTGATTCAAAGCATTCAGAAATAATAGTGGTAAACCTCCTAATTAGTTTCTTTGTGAAGTAACTTGATGATTTCTTTGTAATGCCTGAGTTATAGAATACATGTAGGAGTCACCAGAATTGTGTGTCTATATTGACAAAGAAGTACACATTTACAAAGTAGTATCATGCTTTTGGTTTTATACATATGGATGACATATTTATGTATGGCATATTTTAGAATGCAGTGACCTATAATGATGTGCATGTCGACATCACTCAGGAAGAGTGGGCATTGATGGATCCTTCACAGAAGAATCTCTACAAAGATGTGATGCTGGAGACCTATATGAACCTCACAGCTATAGGTAATACTATAAATTTTCCTTCACATTTTAAATAGGGGGGAAGCTGTTTCTTGGTTATTGATGCATTTCTGTATTTCTGATGGATAATGAGGAAGAATGAGGTGAATAAATCAGATTTGGTTCTAAGGATTAGTGAAGATAGTAATGTAAAATTTTCAGTTTCCAGTAATATTTCATACATTTTCTTGTCCTATATTTTAGGCTACAATTGGGAAGATGTTGAAGTTGAAGAATATTGTCAAAGTTCTCAAAAACATGGAAGGTAATTTTCTTGTGCAAGCTGATACAAATGGGCATCTGGATATATTTAATTTATCTGGAATCTTTAAAGAAATGAATCAGTGTAAATAATCAGAGCTTAAAATGCAACGATGATCATTAAATGTTCATAAAAGCATATACCTCAATGGCAGGTAAATGAATTGTGTTTGCAAGTCATTCTTTGAAGAAGGAAGAAAAAAATAGCAATGCCTTAGCAGAAATTACCATTTGAATAATAGCTTCATCAAAGCTATGCTGTATAACTGACAATCCATTTAGTTTCATAGTATTCATATTACAAAAGATATACTCACTGAGTATGTGATAAAAATATATACCCAACCTTGTAATATGCAAATAGTCCATAGTAGAGTTAATCATATAGTTGTTCTGGCTTTGCTAATTTTAGTTAGATGGGTAGTTAGAGTCAAGAGTTAAAGGGGGGTTGTTGTAGAGAAACATTTCCTATACCACATATTGTTGAGGACCAGAAAGTCCAACTACACATGAAATGTGGAAATATTCTTGTTTTTATTCTTTCTTTAATAGTTATATCATATGTCACTCTGGATATCAACACTATGAACATGAAGATATGGAAGGAAGCAATGTCCATCTCTCAATCTCAGAACAGTTAGAAGATATGTAGTAGTTCTATGTTGAGTAAACTTGATAAATGTGATTCAAGTTTACAAACAATTGGTTTTCCAGCTCATTCAGAATAGATCAACAAACACACCACAGAAAAGCCTTATGAGTACTAGGAATGTGTAAATGCTTCGGTTTGTGCGGGTTAACTTTGAACATGTAGCATGACTCACAGTATGGGAAACTTTATCAGTTGAATAACTGAGGTAAATGTCCAACTTCTCCGAATTCTCTTCAAATATGTGAAAAACCTCAGAGAAAAATGATGCCATAAATATGAGCCAGGTAATAAAGACTCTTGATATCACAGGCATGTTCCAATATGCAAAGCCATTCTTAACACAGAGGAACAGCCTGAGTGTAACAACATGTTAAAAGCTTAAGATATCAGTTCTCTTTATATTTAGACCAAATTGAAAAATTAATTTATGCAGATATAAAGACTCAACAATGTAATGAATATGGTAAAGCTTTTAAATATTTCAATTACTTTTGCAGGCATGAAAGAAGTCATACTACAGAGAAATCACATGAATATACTGCATGTACTAAAGCCTTTGCTTGTAGTCATCCTCAAAGGCATGAAAAAACACATACTGGAGAGAAATCATATGAATATAATCAATGTGGTAAAAGCTTTGCAGAACACAGTAATCTTCAAAGGCATGATACTACACATATTGGTAAAAAACCTTATGAATATAATCAAAGTGGCAAACCATTTGCTCATTGGAAAGTTCTTCAATTTTATAGAAGAAAACATTTTGGAGAGAAACCCTATGAATGTAATCAATTTGATAAAGCATTTACAAAGCCCAGTCATCTTCAAATACATAAAAGAACACATACTGGAGAGAAACCCTATGGATGTAATCAATGTAATAAAGCCTTTGCTCGATACAGTGCTTTTCAATTGCATGAAAGAACACATACGGGAGAGAAACCCTATGAATGTAAACAATGTGGTAAAACCTTTGCACGGCACAATTACCTTCAAGCTCATAAAAGAACACATACAGGAGAAAAATTCTATGAATGTAATCAGTGTGGTAAAGCCTTTGCTCGACACAGTGCTCTTCAAATGCATGGAAGAACACATACGGGAAAGAAACCTTATGAGTGTAAACAATGTGGTAAAGCCTTTGTACAGCCTAGTCATCTTCAAGTACATAAAAGAACACATACTGGAGAGAAACCCTATGAATGTAATCAGTGTGGTAAAGCCTTTGCTCGATACAGTGTTCTTCAATTGCATGAAAGAACACATACTGGAGAGAAACCCTATGCATGTAATCAGTGTGGTAAAGCCTTTGTTCGTCACAATGATCTTCAAAGGCATGAAAGAACACATACTGGAGAGAAACCCTATGAATATAATCAGTGTGGTAAATCCTTTGCTCGAAACAGTGATCTTCAAAGGCATGAAAGAACACATAGTGGAGAGAAGCCCTATGAATGTAAACAATGTGATAAAGCCTTTATACAGCCCAGTCATCTTCAAATACATAAAAGAACACATACCGGAGAGAAACCCTATGAATGTGATCAGTGTAGTAAAGCCTTTGCTCAAAACAGTGATCTTCAAAGGCATGAAAGAACACATACGGGAGAGAAACCCTATGAATGTGAACAATGTGATAAAGCCTTTGTACGGCTCAGTCATCTTCAAGTACATAAAAGAACACATACTGGAGAGAAACCCTATGAATGTAATCAGTGTGGTAAAGCCTTTGCTCAAAACAGTATTCTTCAAAGGCATGAAAGAACACATACTGGAGAGAAACCCTATGAATGTAATGAGTGTGGGAAAGCCTTTGTTCGTCATAGTGCTCTTCAATTGCATAAAAGAATACATAACTGAGGGAAACTCCATGAATGTAAACAGTGTGGTAATGCCTTTGCACAGCCCAGTCATCTTCAAGTGTATTAAAGAACACATATTAGAGAGAAATCCTATGAATATAATCAATGTGGTAATGCCTATTCACAACACAGAGCAACCCTGTAACTGTAAAACTTTTAGTGTGTAATTGGTCTCTTAAAGCCTTTGAATATAACATTAGACTTTGAGGATCTGAAAAGAACTCATACCAAAGGAAATCTGAATATATATGTATTGGTATGATCTTCATCCAACATACTTACATTCCATTACACAAGATTAATTATTTTGGAAAAAAAATTAAAATGTGTCAATAATATGTTCAAGCATTATAATATCTCTTTTATTTTGTTTACACCTCTCATATAATGTGGACAAAAGAGGGATTAGGGATTTATCTCAGTTATAGAGCACTTATCTAGCAGGCACAAGTCCCTGGTTTCGATCCTCAGCTCTAAAACAAAAATATGGACAAAAGACATATAAATTTAAATGATAATGTAACCCTTTTAGATTTCATACTTCTCTTCAAATACATGAAATAATGAATTCTGGTGTAAATTTTCACAGATGTGTATCATTCCTTTTCTGTTGCTTTGATAATAGATCATATCTAAATGAACTTAGAAAAGGTTTCATTTTGGCCCTTGGTTCCAGAGCAGTACATGTATACCGTAAAAGAAGCATGGAAACAAGTGTCAGACATGGCAGCTAAAGCAGGAAGCTAAGAATTCACATTCTTGCCCTGCAGTATAAAGCAGAAAGTGTAAATTAGAAATGGTGTGCAGATATAAATGCTCAGGCCAACTCTAATGACTGACTTCTTCCAGCACGGTACCTTTTCTAAATCTTCTCAAATGATGTCACTGACTGAAAATGATAGATTACTCCAACTTCAAGACTGCATGCTTGTTTTTTGTTAAATGGACCAAGTCATTATGGAGAAAATTTCTGTAATCTTTTAGATGCTTCAAAACCCATGTTACCAGAATTATAATAGAAAACATTCATGATTGAAAATTAGTTTAAATATTTGTTTTTATTTTAATTATGCTATGTGTGAGTGTCTTCCTCTGGGTACATGTACGTGCATTTTAGTTCCCAAGAAGGTTATACCATTGGAACTTCTTATTGTAAGAATTACTGGAAGTCATCCAAAACCAGATCTTGGTCCAGGGAATGAACTTGGGTTAAAATCTTGGCCATGTCTCTATGCCTGTCAATATTTTAAAGCTTTTTATATCATCTTCATGTCAGGAAATAGATATGTACTCATATGAAAGAAAACCATATTTATGTAAACAATTTGGTTAAGACTTTAGACATCACAGTTGTTTTCAATTTCAAGGAAAAAAACCTTGTTTTAAGTCTTTTTCATTGTAGATTTGAAGTAAATAAACTATTAACCAGGTTCACCAAAGACTGATGTGAAGATCCCATTGTGGTTTCTATTTTGCAACATGTGAGAAAGTTATTGAAGTGTGGGGTATGTGTGGAAAATTTAATTAGTAAAGTTTATTTTGTGGTCCTTATATTCCTTCTGTGGTGTTTTTCATCTTCTTTTGCACTTTCACTTATTCAGAGGTGTGGCTTCTATTTTGCAACAAGTGAGAAAGATATTGAAGTGTGGGATATGTGTGGTAAATTCAATTAATAAAGTTTATTTTGTGGTCCTTATATTCCTTCTGTGGTGTTTTTCATCTTCTTTTGCACTTTCACTTATTCAGAGGTGTGGCTTCTATGTTGCAACATGTGAGAAAGTTATTGAAGTGTGGGGTATGTGTGGAAAATTTAATTAGTAAAGTTTATTTTGTGGTCCTTATATTCCTTCTGTGGTGTTTTTCATCTTCTTTTGCACTTTCACTTATTCAGAGGTGTGGCTTCTATTTTGCAACATGTGAGAAAGTTATTGAAGTGTGGGGTATGTGTGGTAAATTCAATTAATAAAGTTTATTTTGTGGTCCTTATATTCCTTCTGTGGCATTTTTTTCATCTCCTTTTGCACTTTCACTTATTCAGAGGTATTTATCTGCTGCCTTGTATAGAATGTGATGGCTATCATCTAAGTGGTTAATTTTTTTTTTTATTTTTTTTTCTAAGTGGTTAATTTTTATTTAACTCTCAGGCAGTATGTGATCACACTTTCAAGTAAGGGTTTCTGTGAAAGGGTGATGGTTTTTTGTTCATGTTTTTTTATTATTTAATATTGATGGTTGTATTTTTAATATTTAATATTCACAAATGTGCTTGAAATGTTTGTTATCTAGCCTGGCTTGAATGTCAGTAATTAGCCAGGGATACATTAGAATTCATGATCCTTGTGTGTCAGTCTCTTGAGTACAATTCTAAGGGTAGATGATGTACTATCTATGACTGTTGTTTTGTCATAACTGTAGGGGAATGGGGTTGGCTAAAGAAATCCACTCTGACCCTGGAGCCCAGAACTACGAAAAGATGACTCAGATATGGCCAGTGATAGAAACACTGTTTGGTTCAAATCAGAGCCATCTCTGCCCCTGGTGAACTGACTTTTGAAACCAACCAATCACAGAGCAGGACAGTAGAATTTTTGCACTAGGGCTCAGGACCAGGGAAAGAAACACAGCCTATGTTTAGAACCTGAGCCAGAAAAATAAACCAAAGAAATAGGCCCTGACTCTGAATCTAGTGCCAAAATAACACTCTTGGTCCCTAGAATCAGAGTTAGTAAAAGAAATGAGCCCCGATCTTAGAGTGTCAAAAAGCCAAGAAAGGCCAGTGGGAAAATATACAGTTTGGCCCTGAAATCAGGGCCATCTCTGTCCCTAGCCCACATAACTGGCCAATCCCTGGGCAAGAAAAAAAAAAAACTAACCAATCACAATTTGACTCTGCCCCCATGATTTCCTATATAAACCACCCTGCCTGGTCAGTTGTGAGCTGTTCTTTCAATTCTGGTAGAGGCAGATACTCTCCTGGACTCTTCCTTCCCAAATAAATCACAAAAGAATTTTGAATGTGAAGATCTTCATTCACTGGTACACAGAAGAACCATGCCGGGATGTCACACAGTAGATTGTCCAAGGGGGAGCTGAACAGAAGATCCTTGCTCAGATATTCCATAGTAGACACCATTGTTAACACTCAAAATGCAGAGGGTATACATGCCACTTTCTCAACCCCTAGGAATAGAAACAGTAGAAGTGGTCCAAAGCTCCTCAAACCCTCTCACATCCCAAATGTCACCCTTATTGGAGGATGTTTATTCAACCTCCTTGTCACACCCCCTCTTTTTTCAGATGCAAACTACCGCATATTAGCTGTTCAATGATGCTCAGCCTGACAATTTGGAGAATGTTGGTTATGTATCCCTCCAGGGTCAAATGCTCATTCACCATTTTGGCCTCACCCATTGTCCTATTAGATTATCTCACCTTACCATTTGTTAATTGTTTCAAGCAAAATGTCTCTACTACCACTTATCTCTCTCACATTCCTCTCTTTGGCATTACAGATGGCTTTAAGTCCTTGGGAAAACACTTTGTGTGTACTCTGGATTCTTCAGACTGCAATAATACTATTACCCTTGGTATTAACACCAAGTCACTATGTCCAAGCATTCACAATGCCTCTATTCTCTTTGGTACTCGTGTTTATCACTGCTTACCTGCTAGGTGTTCTGGGACTTGTGCCCTGGTATATTCCTGTTTTGTAAATTAGGGGTAGTACCTGGTGAAGAACCCTTGCCAATTCCCAATGCCAAATTCACAGCCACAGGGCATGACAAATTAGCCATCCAGTTAATATACTTTCTAGCAGCCCTGGGTATAAATGCAGGTGCAGCCACTGGAATAATAGGACTGACTACTCCCCTAGCTATTTACTGTCAGCTTTCCTCACAATTCATCCAGGATTTCCAACAAGTAGGTCAGACTATCCTTACTCTTCAGGAACTAATAGACTCACTGGCCACTGTATTATTACAAAATCAGAGAGGATTAGATTTATTAACAGCAGAAAGAGGTGGTCTTTGTTTCTTTCTTGGGGAAGAGTGTTGCTTTTATGTCAACCAATCAGAGATTGTGAAAGATAAGATCCAACAACACCAGATGGATCTTCAAACTAGAAACTGCTTGATGCCCCCAGACAGTGGAACACTAATAGTCAGATATGGAAATGGATGCTCCCTTTCTTATCCCCTCTTTTCTTCCTTTTTCTAGCCATACTAATTGCACCCTGTCTCATAAACTTTTTGGTTAGATTTCTTCAACAACAGATACAAAGTATTTCTAAATAAACTCTGAACCAGTTAGTATTACAGGATTACCAGTGCCTATCGACAAAGCCAGAGATCTGCAGAACCTGGTTACATCCTGAGGAGGAAGATCAGGATTGTCCCAAGAACCTTGATGCCCCAAATTAATAAGAAGCAGTCTAATTATAACTTCACCCCCTTTCCAGCCCCTAGCTGCTTATTACCCTTTCCAACTCCTAATTGCTTATTACCCTTTCCAAATTCGAGCTGCTTATTACCCTTTCCAACACCCAGTGGCTTATTTATAAACAAAAAAGGGGTGTTTGTAGGGGGGAAAAGCTAGATAAAGAAACCCACCCTGACCCTGGAGCATAGAACAAGAAAAAGGTGTTTCAGATAAGGCCATTGAGAGAAACATAGTTTGTTTAAAATCAGAGCCATCTCTAACCCGGGCAAACTGACTTGTGAAACATTTGTGAAATCACAGAGTAGGACAGTACAATCCAGGCCCAAGGGCCCATGACCAGGGAAAGAAACACAGCCTGTGTTTGGGACCTAAGCCAGAGAAATGAACTCTTCATCCCCCAAACCCAGAACTAAAGAAATATGTCCAGACTCTGGATATAGTGTCAAAATAACACTCTTGGTCCCTAGAATCAGAGTTTGTGAAAGAAATGAGCACTGGTCTTAGAGGTAGTATCAAAAAGCCAAGAAAGACCAGTGAAATAAACACAGTTTGGCCTTG